AATCCTAAAAGCCCTGGACAGGTGAGAACAATTGTTATTTGGGACTAAAAATGTGGCAAGAGTGCTGACAACTTTCCAAAGGACCTTCTGGTATTTTATTATTGTGCTACGTTTGCTAAGATTTGTCCCCTAATATTTTTATTTCAGTGACATGCTACAAATAGGTGCTGGGTGTAATGACAGTTCAGAAAGTATTTGCTAAATTCAAGGAAGGAGCACCCATGCTTTTCAACTATCTGGATTTGAGAAGTTTCAACTATATGGCTTTTTGTGAAGTTGAACAAAGTGAACATTGCACCTGGCTAATTCTTTTTTCCTTTTTTTTATTAATCACACTTGCTGGCTTGCAAGCTATTAGGAAAATACTTTTCTTTTCATTGAGGGGCGAAAAAAAAAGGGAACTTTACTTTTACTGCAGTAGGGGCTGATTTCAGACCAGTGGGGTGAGCTAGAGCAGAGGCTGCATGAGCTGGGCATGTTGCACTGGACTGTCCCCCACCTACACACGTGATCACAGCACTACAGGCAGAATGACTCCTTGAAAGCCAACAGCTTTCCACCTGCTGCTCAATTTGACAGGGCTGCAGCTCAGGAAATAGCCCATTTACTAACCTTGGCTTCTCTGCACCTAGTGTTCAGCTCAGCCAGCCAAGTCAGTGGAGCCCTAATAGCAGCATTTATCCTTCTGGCAGGTGAGGAGACATGGAGAAAGCAGGGAGGAAAAGACAGAGGGCACCCCAGAAGAGGAGCACGGAAAGCCACACAGACAAACAAAAGGGTGTAGAGCACATTTGCAGAAGGCAGAAACTCCCACATCCATTAGGACTTGCTGTCTAAGGAACAAGAGTTCCTGGCAGACACAGCTGACTTCACTGAAAAAATGCTTGTTTTAATAAAGGACAGGGAGAAAAATAAAAGGTGAAAAGGAAGAGAGACATCAAAAGAACAGGAGCTATGCAAAAACAGGAGGCAAGGGCAGGGGCTGTTTGTCTTTCCCATCTATGGAAATGTGAAGGCACATGCCAAGGGAATAGCAATAGTGAAGGGCAGCTGGGGACATTTGCTCCTTATAGACCTCCAGGAGAAACACCTGCCTTTCCCCAGGACCCCATAGATGGCCCAACAGGGAGACAGGACAGCCACCGGAGTACTCACAACCAGCTACTGCTGTCTGCAAGATGCTGCACTTGCCAAACACATGTATTGATGGAAGGCACCTCATCCCAAATTTGCAACATGAACAGTTTGGGGATTTCTCTTGAATCTAGGTGAAATAAATACATAAAAAATAATAACACCTCCCCCCCCAACAGATCATCCTAACATGATGCATGTCTCTTATTTCCTACATATTAAAGAACAAACCATAAAATCTGATATTTACCAGCTTGCAACCAACTTTCACTTCGTATCCATTTGAAGACAAGGGGTAGGTCCCTCCAAAGTCTCACCTGAGCAGATCGATGCTCACAAATGCCACTCTTGCTCAGAGCCCCAAACACTTCCCACAGGAACGCTGCTGTACAGGGCAAGATCTCGCCTGTGGTTACATGAACATGCAAAGGACAGAGGAGGCTGCCATTCCAGTGCCAGCAGTTTCTAGTTAACCCCATGTTCCAAAATGTATTCATGTTCCAAGCCAAAAATATAAATAATGGCAGCAAAGGTAAAAGGGTTTATAGAAACATGCCTCTCCGCTGTTAATCAGTGGCCTACTAGTTCATTTTTGGAAATTAGGAGAAATAATGTCCTGCCCTCCGCAGTAAGACAAAGAGTCAGAAATGTGGGGAAAGCTTTTGTATCTGCTGACCAAGCAAAAGAAAACTTTTTTCAAGCTGCCCTTCTGACTCCAGCGTATCAACAGTTCGTCCCCGCTGCCCCATGACTATGTCTGACACCACAGCCCTGGCTTATATCGCAAGTTGAAAAGTGCTAGGCAGACTCCAAGATAAAGTTGTCAATAGCGAGGTGCAGACATTCACATTCTTCCCTACCTGCTTGTGAGTGTCAGCTGTTTGTCTGGGAGCAGTCCCTTGAAAAGCTTTTACTGAGGGAGAAAAGGAAAGGGGGATGCAGAGGGCATTTCAAACAGAAAAAAATCGGGGAGGGGAACCCCACAAAGACTGCAAAGAGAAAATAAAAAAAAAAAAAGCCCGTCCCCATCAGGTCCTCCCAACAACTTTCTTTATCAGAGGTTCATTGTCAATCAATTAGCCAAGGCAGCAGGGGTCTGTAGGAAGGGGGGTAGCTCGAGAGACAATGGTCTGCCCTGTTGTATTACTATTTAATCACTTTTCCTAAATAAATAAAGCAGCCCTGAGGTGCTGTCATGTCAAGGGAATTTATAACAAAAAACCCCTTCATTTTTCATTGGTCATTACTTTTCCTTCCCTCCCACCCCTGCAGGACTAGAGAGGGTTATTACTGTAGCCTTAAGTTCCATCTTTGTATTGCTTGCCTTTGATTCCCACTCGGACCTTGCCACTTTCTGGCACTAATTTGTCAGGCCGAACAAAGGAGGGATTTGTACCTCCTGTAAGGTCTCAATTAGGAAAGGCTTCTGCTGTATTATGTGCCATTGGGACGGGACACAAAGACGGTAATTACAGGAATTTGCACTAAATGGCTGAAGAATTCACAGCAAAACTTTTCTTCCTCCCCCCTCCGCATCCTTTTCCAAGCTTACCCCTCCCAGCAGCCCTGGGGAAAGCCGCTCTCAATGCCTGCAAGCTGTAATTACCAACAGCAGGCCCCTTGGGTTAAACAGCAGCCCAGCCAGGGAACAGCACAAACTGCCTGCAGGGAGCAGGGTAAAGGAGAGAGCCTCAGCTTGCTGGTGTGCCTCCAAACTCTCCTCGGCACAAACTTTTCTGAGCCAGGCAAGTTTCCCCAGTTTCTCCCAGTTATAATTACAATTATTCATTTCTTTGCGCCGTGGTAACAGCTAGAAGTTCCAGCCTACTCTCAAAGACCAGCTCTAAGGCAGATGGCAAAGGGTCTGCTCCCACAGTAAGTGCTGTGCATCCCCATCCTCAGGTACAGGGAATCCCAGCGGCCGGCTTCTCACAGACTCTCCGCAACTCACATTTCTCTGCACAAGAGTGTTTGTTCAGTTTTGCAGACTAAAAGGAGACCACAGGAGCACTGGGAATGCCTGATGTGTATCAGGAAAAAACTCCATGCAACCCTGACACGGTCAGAGCAGCTTATTTCTGTGGGGAATACATGAGTGAGTGCAGATGAATCGTCCCATGTTTGGGAGAGGAAATCCACCCTTTCCCACAGAAAAGTCTGCTCCCATACTACATAATGCAAGACTAAAACCTATTCCACATTGGAGACATGCATTTTGTTGCCATCCCGGGGCCTGATCTTATTTTTGAGGAGGTCATTGGAAATGCTCACTTGAAACTCTCCTGGACCTCAGTCAGAGGATGAAGCAAAATTACAAAATTTTCCTCTACTGAGCTTTGAATTAAAAGAAATGAGGAGAAAGGAATAAAGTTTTAATGTCATCTGGGACCTTATCTTAAAATGCGGCTGTTAATTCTGCTTCTTGAGTTTCACAAGACTGTCTGCTGGGTAACACACTGGGCCAGAGCCATCTTGGGGATACTTATTTGACCCACTCCCAGAGTCTCCCTGCAGTTTTCACTCCCACAACTACCGTTAGAGGCAAGACATGACCATTGTCCAAGAGTGTTCAGGTAATCAGAGCTATCACAGGACCCAGGCACCTTCAGTTTCAGCAGTAGTTTGGCACATAATTACTCCCAGAAAAAATTGACATGAAGTCACACAAGGAGTTTGTGGGCAAGAACAGAACTGAATTCAGGCAGAAGCGCCAATATTGTGACCAAATCATTAACTGCAGGGAGGCCAACCTTCACGATGCTCCAGCTACCAGGTGGCTGCCATGCACTGTGGAGAGGTGAGCAGGAACACCACCTATGGGTGACTACCAGAGAGGGACAAACCCAGCTGCACCCACAGCCAGTTCTGAGGGCAACCCAGTACCTCTGGGGCTCAGGTCTACCCTGGAAGGGATTCAGGCCAGCCGGCAGGTCCTGGGCCCGCACAGACCCCCCTGAGCCATGTGCGGTTCCAGAGCAACAGTAGACCTCCACATCAGAGAGCTCCCCCATGCCAGAGCAGAGTGGGGAGGAGGCAGGACCCTCACCGCTCCTGTAACAAAAGAGGAAAACCCTCCAGAAAAGCTGTTTCTGATACAGCTGACAATTTCTAAGTGAGCCTAACTAAAGCCAACCAGAGTACAATTTAGGCACAAAGTTCCCAGATTTGCTCCACAAAGGTGCCCTTGCTAAAGTAAAAGGACAATGAACTGCATTCACACAGGTCCTCTCTATTTTCACTTCATTCCCAAACTGGATGAAATCATGCTCTTGCCTAGGACTGAAGTCAGCAGTCAAATGAACTGAGATTTACAATTAGATGCAGAGGCTTAAAGTCATGTTTTCACCACTGCCTCAAGGGAAGAGCCGAGCAGATGAGCTCATGCCTGAACCTCAGTACTAGAAGACACGCCACCAAATGATGGTGTATCATGGAAGCATATATGCTTTGAGGAGTCTCCCCAGAAGGCCCAGAGCTGAAACTGAGTTCCAAAAACGACTTGGAAGAGACACAGTAATAAAAGGAAACAAAAGTGCCTGAAGTTGGAAACTTGCATCGTATCCAGAATTCAGATTGCTTTTTCCGGTGTCCTGAATCAAGAAAACAGCTCAGTCACCCTGTAAGGCAGCCATATGTGCAAGATCTAATGTTTCAGCACTGCTCATCAAGTGCAGGTGAATCCCTGAATATCCCATAGGCTTTTCTCCACATTTTACAGAGAGCAAAGAAAGGCTAACACTCCGAAGTGTCTATGGCCATAGTGAGAGGCAGTGAACGGCTGTGTGCTGCTAAAACACATACATGCTCTTCCAAGGGATTTCCTGCAGAAGGGGAGTGGGTGCAGATGCTGCAGTCTAGTTGCTTACCTGCACACTTGAAGCTCTGAACTGTGAGCCCTCTCTCTAGAGACAGCGTGGTCAGGATGCTCAGGAAGCTGGTGGTCACAGATTGGCGCTTGCTCTTTCTAAGGTCGTTTCCAAAGAGCCGATCTCCAGGTTTGTTCCTAAGCGTGACCTGCGGATTCTGAGTTAAGCTTCTAGTAGCATTGGCTGCTGCTCTCAGTGCCTCCATCCACTCCTGGGCCCTCTGACAGGTCTCTGCACGCAGGCGGAGAACATCTTGAGGAAAAATGACCTGAAAGCAAGAGTCACAGCCATCCTGAGTATCTGTCTGGACCGACAGGCACACATCGACATTGTAGCTCAGCAGAGGATCTTCATCAAGCCTACCCGGTTGGAATGCCATGAGATAAGACCTGTTCAAGACAAAAGTAAATGCCTTCCAGTTATTCTGGACAGTTAATCTATAAAGAGTCCCTGATTTGAGAATATTTTGGTACTCTTTAGTGTTTTCAGTCAAATTCATGGATAGGAAGAGCTCCATAGGCTTCTCTAACAATCCATTGGTTTGAGAAAGGTCACTGTTATTGTCAGGCTTTGGCACATTCTCCAGTTTCTCCTGCTGTCTCGTGAAAGCAGGCACAGAAGCACGCACCACTTCCCAGAGTTTCTGTCCCCAGTCCAAAGCCTCCCACGAGGACTCTGCCTTCAGCTGTAGCTGCGAGTTGTCTGACAGGACAGCGTCCACCACCTTGGTTTCAACACAACCAGTAACAGTGACCCTTTGAAAATGCATGAGCGGATACACGGTGGGAAGAGTCTGGTTGCCACTGCTGTCCAAGCAATACAGGTACAGTTTGTATGGGGAGAGCTCAGCGTAACAGGTTTGCCAGTAGCTGTCATTGTCTCTTCTAATTTCTAAGTATCCCTTCTTCAGAATATTTGGGAACGTTGGCTTGTGTTCTGGGGGAAACAAAATGAGAACATTACCATTAATTCTTTTTAAATAATTGTTTCAAATTGCTACATCATTCTGGCTTATCTCTCCTACCCATATATGATATATCTGGAGGATAGGATAGAAATAGCCTTCAGCCAATAGGTTATAATTATCAAACACAAGCACTGACTCTGCATTTGAGCCAAGGAGAATACAGCATTTTTTTACCCAGAGATACCAAAACACTTCACAAAAAGGGGACAGGGAAACAGAGGGACAGAGAAACAAAACAATTTTCCTGAGATTATCCAGGAGAACAGTGACAGAGCAACAAAATGCTGCAAGTCTCCCAGAACCTAGTCCAGAAGAGTACAATATTATCACATGATCTATTGCCAATTAAAATGGATTTCAACAGTGTGAAGCAAATACAAATTAAAACACCCTCCCCTCATGCCCCCCTCTTTCCCAGGCTCAACTTCATGCTTTCACACACAACCCCGTCCCAAGCAGCACAGGGGGAAAGGGAATGGGGGGTCGTGGTCAGTTCCTCTCTGACGCTCCTTCCTCCTCACACTTTTCTCCTACTCCAGTGTGGGTCCTCTCCAGGGGCTGCAGTCCTTCAGGATAAACCTGCTCCTGTGCGAGCACTCCATGGCCACTGTTCCTTCAGGAAATCTCCACCTTCTCCAGCATGGGGTCCCACATGGGCTGCAGGGAGACACCTGCTCCACCACGGTCTCCCCAGGGTCCGCAGGGGATTCCCTGCCCCGGCGCCTGCAGCACCTTCTCCGCCTCTGACCTGCGCTGCTCCTCATGCTTTCTTCCTCACTCCTCACACCACCGTGCAGTGCTTTGCCCTTTCTGAAACGCGCTCTGCCAGGGAGGCCCTGCCTGCAGCTGACGGGCGCAGCTGAGCCCCGCGGTGGGGCCGCTGGAACCGGCCAGAACAGCCCCGCTGCCAGCACCCGGGCATGGCACCGGGCACCCGGACGGACACAGGGAATGGAGAACCGTGCTCAACGACAGCAGCTTCTTACCACGCTTCAGCACGACCCAGGACCAGAACATTGTGCACAGCTCTGTTTACTAGAGAGGAGCTTTGCTGATTTATGAGAATCAAGCTCGGGACCAGCAGACATGAACAAAAATGAAAAGTAAGAGGCTGCCCAGACTCAAACACACGTATCTAAGCGCCTCAGCACTTCAGGTGCTTCGGAGCAGACCCTTGCACAAGCCTCGGCCCAAGGTAAAGTCAAGGGGAATTTTCTTCATCCCCAGAAAACCAGCCATACACGAGTCACTCCGGGCACCAAAGTGATATAAATTTAAAAGGAATTATCTAAAACATTTCTGAGTTTTAGAAAAGGCTTCCTTTTAGAAAACTTGCAAAATTTGTTCCAATCTGATTCTATACTACTTCAGCCACCCTTAATACATGCAAACGTTGTGTTTTCACCTTGGGCTGGACATGTGGCTCTATGCAATTTCTGTTGATCCCTGTATAAACTCAGTGGCATTCACTGGTACGCTCTAATGCCAACTTTAACACTTGGCACCCCAAAAGAACTCAGCCTGAGGAACAAATTCTTGCTCCCATTAGACTTCTACTTCACCTTTCCAGTAAGGGTACCTGTGATGGGTCTTGACTTACAACAGTGGCAGAATTAACAGACGCGGGTGAAGAGGTTTCTGCCTCCCTTTGTCCATCTCCCTTGGAGACTGCAGGAGCAAGGTAGCCACCTGGGAACAGCTCCTCATCCACTGCATGGCACAATTATGTCAAAACAAAATCAGCATCAATTGACCTTAACATGCAGCATTACAAACTGCAGCAATACAGGAGCTGTTTCACTCGTGGTTTCTGCCCTCAGGCTGACAACCTTTGAAAGAGGGATAGGGTAGACAGCTGGAGGCGCAAAATACGTTCAGCGTCTCAACTTAACAGGTTACCACTCACATTAACTTGCCACGCTCTAACAAGTTTCAGACATGATCACCTCCGAGTTTACCTAGGGTGTCTTCAATGCAGAGCTAAGAGAACAGAAGCATCTGGGCTTGATGAAACTTGGAAACAAAGAGCCAAAGATGAGCCTGTATAGAAGTTACTGTATCCCCACGTGTACTGGGCTTCCCAGCTAACACAGCCAGATTAGCTGGCCAAGCCACTCTCACCGCCACCGGCTAATGAGTGAGTCTGTCTATCCTCCCAGGGGCACAAGGAGAGTCAGGGACTATGAGTATTTGAGGGACTTAGTTACTGTCCAAAGGGCTTCTGATACCAACTGGTCAGAAAGCAGACCTTGGGCTGTAACCTACAGTCTAAGGAGATGCGCCCATCCCTGGCTGAAAGCATTGCTGTAGGTGGTTGTGAGAGGTTCGTGTATGGTCAGGAGGAAGCTTAAGGACAGCAACAGTGTAAAAGCTTTGGCTAGCTCTTCAGTGAAGACCAGCTTTAAGGATTTATAAGGATTAAGTAGACAAGTTTCAGTTAAACTTAATGAACGTACATGAGAATTAATTGCTCGATATACTTAATATGAGTATGCAAACTTCATGGGGGTTAAGACATGGGGGAAGGATGCTACCTCCCACCCACATTAACAAAAAGGAGGCACTTCAGTTTTGCCTTGCCAGCTCAGCCTCAGCTTCCCCACACTGCCCACTTACTCAGAATGGAGCCTGCATTTAACACCATGTTCAAAGCACTCTACACTTTACCTGCAAAGATTTCCTGCATAAATGACTAAAATCATAACAACATTTATTAAAAAATTGTTACTTTGGCACTAGGTCTGAAAAGGTGGAACAGAAATCAATATAGCTATACCTTGCCAACAAATAAGCTACTTGAGACTATTTCAGCTAAATATGAAAACTGAAAGCCTAATCTAAAACTCAAAATGGTACAGAAAAAGCACACTTTCACATCCCAAATGGACAGATACATGCACACGCGCGCACACACACACTAGAAGAGAACCAATTTTGTTCACTGTACATCTCTGGCCCTGACATTCATTAGTATTTCTGCGCTAACTCAAAAGCCATTAATTTCTCTGAAACCCACACTAATCCCTTTGTAGTGCAGATAATGGGCAGCCATTCTAGAGTCATCTTCCCTTTCTATTAATCCAATCAGGGAGGCAGCGCTTCTGCAGCTCCAACTGCAATCTCTCTCACTTCCATCAAGTACAGATGACAGTTCAAGCTTCTCCATAATAAGACAACTCGTAACCTTCCCCCAGCCACCCCTCCTTCATCTGCACACAGGTTTGCTTGTCTTTTGTTGAGTTAGAGAAAGGCTATCTATCCCTGCCTTTCAAAGAGGCACCCCCCTCTCCCTCCTTACCCCACTCCTTCCGTTCAAGCTCCCGTGAATCGGCTCCACTGCCTCTCGCTCTAACCGGGACAGAACCAGCAGCCAACTTGATTAAAATTCAAATGCCTCGTATTGTTTAGGTCAGGGCAATAGATGCTGGCAGAGACAGGTTGAATCCATATGCTACACATACCCCCCCCCTTTACAACCCTCTGCTCCTTTATCTCCTCGACGTGCAGTGTACCAGATAATACCCTTCCACTCAGAGAGCAAATGCTACCATCTCGCTATCCACCTTCCAGACAGAAACTGCATCTCTTTTCCTCCCTACAGAGACAGGGAGAATAAATTGAGGAAGAGTAAAAAAAGGGAAATAATCACGGTAAATGGCCCACGCCTGAGCCATTTGGAGTTATAATTTCAAGGGAAGAGGGGGAAGGAGGCAGAGGGAAACAAAGAGCGACTCAGCAGCTGGGAACAGGGCAGTAGCTTCCTCAGCATCTCTCCTCTCCTTTGGGAACTGCCTACTCGTCGCAGCTAGGAACCCTGCACCGAGCACACACCTACCCCTCTCCACACTTGGAGGCAGTTGGTGCAACCAGCGCCGCAGGAGAGGGAGCCCCAGCGTTGTCTCAGCATGTGCAGAAGATACATGCTCCTGAACAACTGACTGTACTTGCGTCCCTGTTGGTATAGCAGGAAAACTTGCCCTGTCTTCCACCACTGAAGTATTTCTAATGACCGTAATACCAAGTAGCTTGGAAAAGAGCAGAAGCAGAGATGCCTAGTTTCTGAGGGGTTTGTCTCTTGAGGTGGCACTCCTCTCTGGGTTCTCTAAGAGATGAGCATACGTTACAGAGTTTTTGTCAACAATCCTCCTCTCTGATTTCCACAGAACTTAACAGACACCTTTGGGACCTAAAATGCTCTCAAATTGGGTTGGGCTAGTCACCTGCTTGGTGGGGTTTGCTAGATCAGGGACAAACTGTGCCTCAGCCACTGTGATTCACATCCACAATGTCCACTTCCCTCCTACTTAAAAATACAGTCTTTTCTTCCCACCTATTTTTCCCATCTGGCTCTGCAAGTATATCTCTTTCAGGCAAGTATATCTGATTTCACTTGGTTCTGAAATAATGGCATGGATATTTAGCCACAATTTTCCAGCAGATGGCTATCCTGGAGCCAAACCTAGGTTCTTCTCCCAATGCCACCTCTTTACAAGGGACCACTACAGCAATGGGACTTGTAACTAGGTAGCAGTTTGCATTCATTTATATAAAGAAACAGCATCTCTCCCCACCAGAAGGGCATTCACTCTTTTTCATCTTCCTTCAGCTTCAGGAAAGCAAAACCTGCTTTGAAAATGTTGAACTTGCAAACTCTTAATTTTAGATTTATGCATTGCTAATGAGGTTGGCTTAGATGTTCACCAAAAAAACCTCCTCACTGAATGAACCGCCTAAACAGATGCATAAAGAACCTGAAAAAATTATTCTTTATGTCTTTCCTTTCAGGCGTGGCATCGTACGAGAAACATACGAGAAACTCTGCTGAAGTCTACAGGATCCCGGCTGCCCAGCCACTCCATCCAATCCTTTTTGCTCCTCTGCAGCAAGTCAAACACTTGTACAGTGTTTGCTGAGCAGACCACCAGCACCCTGTGCATACTGACACAGTGCCTGTGCCAAGGGGGCACTG